CCGTGGCCACGCCCATTGCCACTACCCCCTTGCCGTGGCTGTGCCCACTGCTCCGCCCATGCACAGCCTGACCAAGACCTAACCCACATTTAACCTTGCCAGTGCCCCGCTCCCACCTGCTTGCCCGGCTTAGTGCCCCTAGGTCCACACTGGCGTGCACAGTACCCTACCCACACTTTTCAGCCACACCTGACACTCCACCTATTCACAGGGTGGTGACACCCCAGACCCCCAACCACACACATAACCACGCCCACCACCCAAACTCACCCCACCCACAGCCCCTTTGGGTCCCGCCCAATGCTCCATCCAGAGCGTGGCCACGCCCACAGCAGGCTGGCCACGCCCATGCGGGCCGCTAACTTCCTGGTGAAGCTGTGAGGTTGAGTACGCAGCTGCGGCCTCCGCCTCCGCCTCCCTGCTTTTCCTGCACCTCCGCCCCACCTGTCCCCAGCACAGCCTTCCTCAGGCCCAGGAGGAAAGAGGACTAGCACCTGGCACAGGCTGAGGTTGTGGTCATAGCCACATCCAGGTCAAATGCAAGGTCAGAGAGTGGCCTCCAGTCTGTGCTGAGCCCTGAATGATAAATGGAGGCTGCTGGAGTGCAAAAGGTGGCAGAATGCACACAGGCGGTGACAAGCCATGCAAAGGCCCTGGGGCACGCAGGTAGCAAACGGAGGTAGACTGTCCAGAGCTCAGGAAATCCTAGAATCTGCTGTTGGAACCAGACAAATGTTAACTCTGGGCCCACTAGGACTGGAAGTTGAGCGCTTGTTGGCTTCAGTGCTGACTAATCCCCGATGGAGGTTTGTGACAGAGAGGTGGGACCCCCCCCGCCTGTTCCACATGGGTAAACCAGGGGCCAGAAGGGCGGGGGACCCTAAGAAAACAGCTGGGGGTGGAAACGGAGGGGACGGGTGGCCATCTGACCATCTGTCTGTCCTGCAGGCTCGGGGAGAAGGAGAATCCAAGTCCCTGTGGTTCAAGGGCGGGTGAGTGCTGGAACTGTACCCAGCAGGGTGTCTTCACCCCGACCTCCCCAGAAGGCAACCGGGGCTCAGCCTGGGAAGGTCAGAAGTGGCCCTGTTGGAAAGGGGAGCAATTAAGGTCTTTGCTTTTCTTGAGCTGGGATCTTGCTGTGTTCGTACTGACCCCTTGGGCTCTAGCAGTCCTCCTGCCTCAGCCTCCTCAGGAGCTGGGACTCCAGGCGCGTGCCATGCACCCAGTAGACGTAGCCATAAGATGAAGCAGAAAGCAATCCTCCCGGCCCTGTGTAGTCCTGCTTGCTTTGCTTGTGTCTGAATCTCTGGGTTCTCTCTCGGGTCCCAGGCTCTTTAATTAGTGAGAGCCATCAAGCCTAAGCCGAACTCACTGTCCACCAGTCAGCCTCCAGTGCCTGCTCACGGGCGCAGGAGATAATTTTAGGTGACGCTTGCATTTGGAAATAGCATCGGGACCATGGCCTCCTTCCTACGTGCCTTCCCTTGCACACAGAATCGGGAACAGGAGGAGCTTCGGCTCTAAAAATAAAAGAGGAGCCCTGGGTGGAGGTGGCACCAGGGCGGGCGCGAGTCTGGTAGAGGAGGCTGCTGCAGGGAGTGGTACGGTGGGGATGGCCACTCCAGTGCCCTGCAGAGCCTCTTCACAAAGGCCAGCGCACGATGCCAGCTCCTTGCCCATCGGCTCTGGAAGCTGTCCCTCCCAGCTGGCCTTCCAGTGTGCACAGCACTTCCCAAACTGAGCACAAAGAAAGGCTCCCTGCCAGGCGTAGGAGAGAGCGCCTGTCACCCCAGCCCTTGGGAGGCTGCAACAGGAGGAGCCCAGCCTGGGAAACGTAGGGAGACCCTGTCTCACAATAAGACAAGTCTGGGGAAGGGCTCAGTGTGAAAGCCCCGGGTTCCATCCCCAGCATTGCAAAAAAAAAAAAGAGAAAGAAATTTCCCTTCTGTTCTGGCGTGGCGCTGGGATTCGCCTGATTCCGTTTCCCATTGAGTGTGGACAGGGCCCCATGGCCCCATTTCCCGGATGTGGACGTGGAGGCCGATGTTTCCTCTCTTAGGGGTGTCACCTGGTGTCACCGCGTGGGGCCCTGAAGCCAGGCTGTGGGCCTTCCTTGCCCGTCCCTAGCTGTCTGTCCTCATCCTTGCCAGTCCATGCCCCTCTCCCCTCTCCGCAACATGGCAGGGACATCCACATCCCCCGGAGGGCTGGAGGCTCGTGGCCCCCCCTCCCGGTGAGGACCTGGCTCTCCACCCTCACCACCTACTCGGCCCCAGGCAGTGTCTGTGTGGCCCGGGGAAAGCTGGCCCTCAACATGCCGTGTCCCCTGCAGCCCTGGAGGTGGCCTTATTATCATCGACAGCATGCCGGACATCCGCAAGAGGAAACCCATCCCGCTTGTGAGCGACCTGGTAAGCGTTGTTCAGTGGCCAGCGGGGCTCCGCAAGCAGCACCCAGACTGCGCAGCTGCCCGCGGGGCTGGGGGCGGGCTGGGCCTCCCGGGACTGATGCAGTTTGCTCTCTACCCCGTGTGCTCCGTGGATGCTCCAGGCCATGGTGAGTGGTGCTGACCGGTTCTGCGGGGCTCCAGTCCCCGCTCCCCTGGGGGATCTCCCCACCGTCCCTGTCGTGGGTTCTGGGGAACCTTGTCCTGTCCCCGTCGGGGCTCCTTTGGTCCCCGGCTCACCGATGGCTCTGCTGTGTGGCCGGGACATCACCTGGGGTGACCCGGGGCCATCCGCGGTGGGGAGCGAGTCGATGCCCCCTGACCCGGAGCCCCTGCCGCTTCCTCCTCCTGTGCTGTGACCTGTGACTCATGACCTGTGACCCATGACCTGTGACCTGTGACCGGGCGGTCCCCACCTGCGGCTGGACTTCAACCGCAGTCTCTGGTCCAGTCCCGAAAGGCGGGCATCACGTCGGCCCTGGCCTCCAGCACGCTGAACAACGAGGAGCTGGTGC